TCTGTAATCGGTACTAAAACCTGGAAAAACTTAGTATATTCTACGGCAGCTGTTCAAATGCTGACGATAAGCGTATTTCTCTGAAAAGGTATTTCACTGCCAAATTTACCTTCGGCGACAAAGCGATTAATGACCCAATAACTGTTCTTCCTCGTCGCGAGTATAATTTGCTTTGTGGCAGAGTACTGGAGTACCTTGATATTCTTCTGTGGCAGCATGAAACTTCTGATTCTGTTGATATTAACGCCTTCTCTGCTCATGTGCTGACAACAAGTTTTCCAAAATTATTTCAAGGAGGTCTCGGGTTGTGCTCGAAAACAAAGGTGCAGCTAATTCTAAAGGAAGACGTTAAGCCAGTTCATTTACGCGCTCGACCGGTTGCTTTGGCAATTCAAGAACAAGTCGGTGCGGAGCTTGATCGTCTTGTGGCAAGTGGCGGTATTACGCCGGTTGATTCATCTGACTGGACTGCTCTGATCGTGGTTGCTAGGAAAGCTAATAGGAAGATTCGTCTCTGTGCAGATTATTCTACTGGTCTAAACGACGCTTTAAAGATATTACTTATCCTATTCCTAACATGGAGGATGTTATTGCCAAATTTTCCGGCAACACTATATTTTCTCAGCTGAATCTGTCTGATGCCTATCTTCAGCTGTCTCTTGATGAATCTAGTCAGAAGCTGACAACAATCAGCTCCCACAAGGGACTTTTCCAGTACAATCGTCTTGTTTTTGGTCTCAAGCCAGCTCCTGCTGTTTTCCAGAAGACAATGGATCAAGCCCTTTCCGGTATTGAAGGTACCTTGGTCTATCTTGATGACATACTTATTTTGGGACCAGACAAATTAACTCACGACCAACGTCTTCATGCTGTACTGCAACGACTTCAAGAATGGGGCTTTCGTCTCCAGCTTGGTAAGTGCAGTTTCTATGTTCCCAAAGTGAAATACTTAGGCATGATTATTTCGGCAAACGGTACTGAAGCAAATCCAAGCCGTATTAGAGCAGTTCAACATCTTCGTACTCCTCAGAGCCATAAAGACGTTCGATCATTACTGGGTCTTGTGAATTATTATGGAAATTTGTACCTTCTTTACATTAGCTCAAATCTTCGCTGGAAAATCTACACAAGGGTGCATAATTCAATTGGACAAGAAACCATCAAAAGCTTTCAAACGAATCAATAAAATACTTTCTGGACCACTTCTTCTAGCCCACTTCGACCCTCGTCAAACTCTGATTGTCGCAGCTGATGCCTGCAACACCGGGATTGGTGGAGTTCTTCTGCAATGCTACGCAGATGGCAATGTTAAAGCCGTCTTCCACATGGCGAAAGCGTTAACCAGTTCTCAAAGGAATTATAGTCAGATTGAAAAAGAGGCATTTGCACTTGTCACAGCTGTTGAACGGTTCAGGAAATTCATATGGGGGCGACATTTCGTACTTCAAACTGATCATAGACCCCTGCTTGCGTTATTCCGTACTTCGAATACGGAAGGTTTACAAGATCGCACAGCTGCCAGGCTCAAACGTTGGGCTCTTCGTTTACTTGGCTATGATTTTGAGATTGAGTACTTCAAAACAGAAAATTTTGGCCAAGCCGATGCGCTTTCTCGTCTTATTGACCAGCAACGATTGGAGGCAATTGATCCCGAAATGGAAGAAGTCA